AACATTCGAAAACTTTTAATTTCGTTTGATCAATTATGTGTATTCGACACTTTTACTTAGAAAAAATTTGTTAGAATTCCTACAATTCTCAAAATTTTTTAAAAATAAAAAATTTCTAGAAATCTAGTATTCATCATTATATTGAATTAATTGAATTATTGGGATTTACTAAAGTTTCTCAAATTCACAATGTTTTGAAAGTTTAGAAAATTTTGGAATTCCACTCAAGTTATTAAAAAGGGGATACTTCAAGAAATTAAAAACTATCAAAACCCTAAAAAATTTAAATTGCGGTGATTTTTAAATTTGTATACACGATATATCGATGGCTGAGTGGAAGATCGACCTATCTCGGCAACTAGTTCGAAAACGCACTATCTCAGAAAATTTTTTAAGAACGCTCTATCTCAGAAAACTTTTCAAGAACGCCCTACTTCAGAATTTCATTGAAAAACGCCCTATCTCAGCTGCCGAGTCAAAAACGCCCTATATCAGCTTATTTTCAATGTATTTTCGTTTGAGATAGGGCGTTTTTGAAATGAAATTCTGAAGTAGGGCGTTCTTGAAAAGTTTTCAACCAAATTCTGAAATAGGGCGGTTTTCAATCAAACTTTGAAGTAGGGCGTTCTTGAAAAATTTTCTGAGACAGGGCGTTTTTGAACTGGCTTCCGAGATAGGCCGATCTTCCACTCAGCCATCGATATGTTGAAAAATTACCCCCAATTTTTAACTAAATTTTTGCATGGGAAATCAACAAGCGTATTTTTAGCGAGAGACAAATTACATACACTGGTTTACAGCAAAAATGTTCTGTTGTATATTGCATGTGCACGCTTCTAGCTTGCAATTACGACTCGCTTTATTTCGGAATTCTCTTAGCGTTGATACAAGTTATACTTATCGATAAGTACATACTATTATCTATGCTACATCTCCCCTTTTTCATATAGCTTTCACACGGAGCTGCATCGTTATATATTGATTAACATTTCCTCTATAAGTAACTCTAATCTTAGTTTTTAAAATTTAAATTTGATTTAATTCATTACTTTTTTTTTTTTTTTTTTCAAATATAGTATGAATCTGTATTACATAATCGCTTAAAAATATAGTACATTTTATTGGTAGTTCAGACCACTACGAGTGCGTTTTGCCCTTGTACATGCTTTGTCGTCAGGGAAGGAGTGATGTACTGTAGGGTTTTCTACAATAACACGTTTACCAGCCTTATTATGTATCTCGAACGATAGGCCGCACGAACGATTCGTCTGTAGGCGATATCGTCACGGATTGCAATTTTGTAACTCTGTCGTTCGTCTTCGTCTTGTCTTTACGTCGATTACGTTGCAATCGTCTCGGTTACGTTGTATGATGTTGCCGGATGAAATTTTGATGTACTTCCAAAGAGTTTTTCTTAGATTTCTCATATTTTCAGCTTATTTCAATGCTTTTTATTTTAAATGGGCAACATCGGAATTGTTTACATTTTGGTTTTGCTTAAAAGTGTTTTGGTTGTGTTGCGGAAAGAGATATAAGGAAAATTAATTTTTAAAAATGTATGCTGCTATAGCGCTAATGGACGCCGAGGAATCCGAAGAAAGGGAAAGGCGAATACAGAGGAGGAGATTGCGAGACCACACCAATGTAATGGACCTACCTGAGACTGAGTAAGTTCAAGATAAGCAAATAATTTTTGTATTCTACAATGTATTCGTTTCTAGATTTGTTGCAAATTTCCGAATCAATAAAGAAATATTCCAATACATATTAAACGAATTAAAAGAGCACATGGCTCCATCACATAGAAGCACCCACCTATCGCAGCAGCTAAAACTCGCGACTTTTTTAAGATTTCTCGCCACCGGCAGTTACCAAAAATCTGTTGGTAACGAAAATATTTCGTCGATGGGGCAGTCAACTGCAGCCAACGTGATCAGGGAATGCCTAAATATTTTTGAGGACCATTTTTGCCAGAAATGGGTGAATTTTAGGAGAAACATCGATGAGGAAAATGCAGTTAAAGCACATTTCTTTGAGAAATACGGAATACCTAGGGTTATCGGTTGTGTTGATGGAACACACGTTCGTATTAAGTCGCCAGGAAGTGACAACCACCATTTATACCTCAACCGCAAGGGTTTTTACAGTCTTAATGTAATGGCGGTAGGTTAATGATTTACTATCTTTACAAGTATACATATACACAAACTGAGTTTCCTTACAGATATGCGATCACANTATAAGAGACAGTCCTTACAGATATGCGATCACAACATGGTAATCACATTTGTTGACGCTAGGCATCCAGGGGCGAATCATGATTCATTTGTTTGGAATGTGAGTCACGCAGAACAGGAGCTAAAATCTGATTATAACAATGGAAAAATCAACACATGGCTACACGGTAAGTTTTAAAACTTAAAAAGGCCATAAAACTATTACTGACAATGAAAATTTTTGTAGGGGATTCTGGTTACCCCTTGCAGCCATACTTGATGACGCCATTCAGAAGCGCAGCCGATGAAATTCAACGAATTTACAACACAAAGCACTCGAAAGCTCGTAATGTAATTGAGAGATGTTTCGGTGTTTTGAAAAACCGATTTCGATGTATAATTGGCTCGAGAGGGCTACACTATTCACCAGAAAAAGTTACACAAATTGTAAATGTGTGCTGTGCTATTCATAACGTTTGTATATTTTTCAAACATCAAATTCCATTGGAGAGCCCAGATATGGAGAATCTTGTTAGTTACGAAGACGAACTGGAAAACAGTGACATTTCGAATACAGCTGCCCTTATTAGAATGAGAATAGCAGAGAGTTTATTATACGCAGTATATTAACGCAGTTTTATTATAAAGTATGTGTGTTTAGATTTCAGGTACACCAG